GAACCAAGCTCAGAGAACCCCAAGGACTCCACAGTTCAACCCTGAGCTATACATATTTGCCAATATTAATATTAATATTAATAATAATAATAATAATAATACACTAATGCACAATGGATAAGCAAGCAAGGAAGAGATTACAGTAGCTTTCAACTATTTTAGGTCCTTGCCTACGACAAGTAGAACTGTCATTAATTTAAAATTCCGTGTATCGATAGATATTGTCTATTTATTTATTTATTTATTTATTTATTTATTTATGTATTTATATTTCAAATTTAGTCACTGCCCATATCACTTAAGAGTGACTCTGAGTGGTTTAGGGTAAAATAACAATAAGTATTAATTAAAATACAATAAATAAAACCATGTTCATACATAAATAATGTCTTCCAAGATAGTGATGGTAAATAAACGTTACAGGGTCATCTTCAAGGTGCCAGCCACCCACCAGGATTGGTTGCCCCTCTTCTCACCCCACACAAGTTGGCAGAGCCAGGTCTTCACCCCTTTCCAGAAAGTTGGGGAAGCCCAACCTCACCTCACCTCTGGGAGGAGAGTATTCTATATGGCAGGAGCAACAGCAGAAAAGGCTGTTCTTCTGGGCCCTGCTAGTCGGCATTCTTTCGTCAGTGGGGTCTGTAACATACCTTCTCTGCCTGACCAGGTGGGATGGGTGGGTTGATACAATGGGAATGCTACACTTTTTATTTATATACAGAACTGTCTTTTTAAGAATGAAACCTTTACATGATAGTCATATTTTAAATGAAACAATATAATAATAAACTATAAATATAATATAATATAAACTATAAAACATTACCATGAAAACCAGTTGCAATACAGTTAAAAATACAGTTTAAGGAAAAGCAAGCAGATTTGGAGATCTTTCCTAATGGGAAAAAAGAGGTCTGAAGATGCTTCTAAGCTCTTGTTTACGGTAGTCCACCCTAAAAATCACTAGAATATAAATAAAATGGAGAGACAGTGTGCCTTTCCCAGGTAGCATCTACATGGTGTACCAGCCTTGTTTAAAGGGGAAAAAAAAAATCACCAGAGTTTTCCCAGTTCATACCAAAAACAACTGGGAGGAGAACACACACAGAAGGAGCCCAAGATTAGATTGTTTGTAGTAAGTTTTACCTTGTTTGCCATCATCTATCTCTAAATAACTTTAAAGAATCCATTGGAGCTGGAAAGCTAATGAATTTAAATAAATAAATAAATAAATAAATAAATAAATAAATAAATAAAAATATATCTCTAAATAACATTAATTTACTAAATACAAGTTATTTTATGCTAATATTGCACCCTTGATGTCATATTTAAAAAACCTTGGGAAGTTCAGAATATTTCCTAAAAATAATTGCTATGGTACTGAAAACAATTATTTGTCTCTCTGCTTCCTCTTTAAAGCTATCTCCTCTTCTGTCTTCCTTTACTGAATGATTGTCACACAACTACTCAGGTCTGACTATAGGATGATATCATAAAGCCAGTGAAGAATAAGGGCTAGAACCACTCATTGTACCACTTTGAAAGTGATCTACCATGTTGAAAGCCTGAAAAGGGTAACATAATTAGCAGGGTAAAACTTCATAAAAATGTGCTTCCCAGTATATTCACAGAACTTTTACGTGTTGAGATTTAAAAGAGGAAAAGCCACATGGAAAAAGTAATATATGACTCTTTCTTGGAATGGCAACCTAATTTTGGGTGTGTGTGCGCATGTGCGTGTGTGTGTGTATCATACACTGTTCAGTATATGTTGACATACTGAAATGATAAAATAAGATTTCTCTAAGGACAAAAATCCTGTGAGAATGAACTAATGAAGTGATAAACAAATATTTATTTATTTATTTATTTATTTATTTATTTATTACATTTTTCAAC